CCTGCTTTCTAGAATCCAAAAAGAGGTAGAGACAGAGATAGTGGATGCATTTTCCAAATTACGTTCTGGAGATTCTGGAGAAGTGCCAGAGGATTGGAAAACTGCTAATGAAATACCACTATTTAAAAAGGGAGAGAGGCAAAAAGCAGTAACTATAAGCCAATTAGCCTAACGTCTATTGTTGGAGAAGATTTGGAATAAATTATGAAGGAAGTAATAGCAGAGCATTTCTAATCTAATCAAGCAGAGTCAGCATAGCTTCATGAAAGGTAAATCATGTCTGACTAATTTAGTACAGTTTTTCAAGGAAGTCTCAAAAAGAGTGGATAGAGCAGAACCAGCAGATGTGTTATGTGGACTTCAACAAAGTATCTCACAAAATGTTAAGTCATAAGAGCCCTTGGTGTTGGAGCTGGTATATTGGCATGGATAGAGAATTGGCTCAGGGGCAGAAAACAGTGAGTGGAGATGTGGGGTTCTTTTTCAGGTTGGCAACCTGAGTCCAATGGGGTTCGACATGGATCAGTGCTGGGACTGCAACTGATTACAATATATACTAATGATGTGGAGGAATTAAGTGAATGTGCTGTAGCCAAATTTGCAGGCAACACTAAAATAGGTGGAAAGGCAAGTTGTAAGAGGGTTGCAAACAGTTTACAGAGAGATAGGTCATGTAAGTGAGTAAAAAGTTGGCAAATGAAGTATAATGTGGGAAAATGTGAAGTTGTTCATTCTGGAATGGAGAACAAAAGAACAGAATATTATTTAAATGAAGAGAAACCGCACAAAGCTTCATCCCAAAGGAACTGGGGAGCACTTGTGCAGAAAACACAGAAAGCTAGCATGCAGGGGCAGCAGATAATCAGGAAGGCTAATGGAATGTTGGTCCTTATTTCAAGGGTGTTGGAGTATAAGAGTAGGAAATTTTTACTGCAACTGTACAAGGTGTTGGTGAGACCATATATGGAGTACTGTGAACAGTTTTGGTCCTCTTATTTGAGGAAGAATGTCATTTCATTGGAGGCAGTTCTGAGAATATTCACTAAAATGATCCCCTGAATAGAGGGATTGTCTTATGAACAAAGATTGGGGAATCAAGGGTCATGGGGAAAGGACAAGAAAGTGAATGTGAGGAATGTCACATCAACCATGATTGCATTGAATGGCAGAGCAGGTTTGAGGGGCTGAACAGCCTACTCCTGTTCCTTTTCCTTATTGTCCTTAAAATAGTTTGAAAATGGTCAGCAGGCCAGGCTGCATGCATGGAGAGAAAAAGACCTAACTTGTTAGCTTGATGGCCTGTCATCAGAACTTACTTTTAAGGATAATTTCTTCTGAAAGTTTAATGTATCTTCATTCAGTGTTTCACAAACTCCGCCTTTCCCTACTTTCTCATTTCCAAAACAGACACTTGTGCAAAGAGCATTGCTCCTAACATGGCTGGAGGGCTCACTTAGTAAAGCAGCTTGTTCAAACCTACTGAACTTGGAACTCATAGGGACATGTTTTCTCCAGTGCTGTGTGAAATGGTAAAGAATTAACTATCCATGTTCAATTAAAAAGAAAATCCTCATAATTGTGGTCATTCCACCAAATGCTTGATCTACAATGTTGGTATGACCCACAGGAAGATCCACAATTGCAGATATAGGTCTATCCAATATCATTTCCATGGGATATGTTGAGAGTTGCTCCTCCACTTTAATCACAAATTCCTTCCCTTTTGACTGTATTACATTGAAATTGAACAAAGCCCTTTCCTATTCGCCCAGACTACTCCATTCCAATGGCCCAAATCCTCTTTCCATTCAGCAACACTATTAGATTCCAACAAACCAAAATTCTTTTCATTCGTCCTCACCATAACAATCCAATAGACAAACTCCCTTCCTATTCACCAACAATATAGCTCAGTTGGCTGGACAACTGGTTCACAATGTGAAAGGATGCTAACAGCGTGGGTTCAGTTTCTACACCAACTGAGGTTACAATGAAGGCCTGTGCTTCTTAACCTCTTCTATCCCTGAGGTGTGCTGACCGTCAAATTAAATCACTACCAATTGTCTCTCTCTAATGAGAGAGCAGGCCTACGATCTGATAAGACTATGGCGACTTTATCTTTACATTCAATAGACCAAACCCCTTCCCATTCACTCTCACTATTACGTTCCAGCCTACCAAATCTTCTCCTATTAACCCATATTATTACATTTCAATAGAGTCCTAGAGTCATACAACACGAAAACAGACCCTTCGGTCCAACCTGTCCATGCCGAACTTAATCCCAAACTAAACTAGCCCCGCCTGCCTGCTCCTGACCCATATCCCTTTCCTAATGATGTAATTATCCAAATGTCTTTTAAACATCGTAATTGCACCCATATCCACCACGTCCTCAGGAAGTTCATTCCATATGCGAACCACCCTCTGTGCAAAACATTTACTCCTCGTGTCCATTTTAAATGTCTCTCCTCTCACCTTAAAATCTGCCCATTAGTCTTGAAATCCCCCATCCTAGGGAAAAGACAACTACAATTAACTCCATCTAGACCCCTCATTATTTTATAAACTTCTATCAGGAACCCCTTCCTATTCACCCTGTTATTGCATTCTGATAGATTAAACCCCCTTCCCATTCACTCACATTATTCCATTCCAATTTACCAAAGCCTTTTCTATTCACCCACATTATTACATTCTAATAGACTAAACCCTTCCCACTCACCCAGAAAGACTGTATTCCAATGGAACAAACCACTTCCCATTCACTCATACTTTTGTATTCCTATGGACTAAAACTCTTTCCTATTCACCTGCACTGTTAATTTCCAGTGTACCAACTGGAGGAATTCTAAGCAACCAAACCAATTTCTCCCATTACAATCTTTCTTACTCAACAGTTCCCATTTGTTTTTGATGGTAACTCACTGATCCTTTTCTTACACAAAGAATTTTATCTGATCGACTAAAGCTTTTACCATTACATCAAATGTACGAGAATTTCTATTCAAGGAAAATTTTTTGACCTGAAATATTCTGTACTTAACAACAAGCTTGTACAGTACAATGTAATCAATTCATTTCCAACTGGTGTTGAGAGGCAGCCTGATCATCTAGAAATTAAAATGTCAGCCAGAGTGTTCTGTTGTTTTTATATAGATAGAGTTGCTGAATTAACGTTTACATGGGATGTGCTACAAGCATTTAGCATAGTTATTTTTATCTGCAGTTTCATGGAAGCCTTGATCCATCCTTAATCCTGATTAAAGCCTGCAGAGCAGTCTTGCTTTTATCACGATTGATTATTCTTGTCACAAATAACATCAGTTGAAACCGGTCATTTTCATGATGCTAATAGCACCTAAAAATGGGCTTTATTTGCCCTCAATCTGCTACGCAATCCTGGCATTGTTGTACGTTAAAACTCTTTGGGACAAAACTGACTCCAGCTCCTGGGGACCTGTGGAAAAGATATGTCGGGGGGTGGTGGGGGAATCCATTAAACAAGGCCCTTAAAATTATCAAAGGGTTCAATAAGATTGACAAATGGATGTTTCCACTTGTATTAGAGACCAGAACTGGGAATTATACTCTTTCATAAATTCAATGGGGAATACTGGATAGTAATACTGGGTAAATCAGATCCCAGACTGAAACCTGACTTCATAGACATAACATTTATTTTTGCAATTTGCTTACTATGGTGGTCAATCATTGAGTCTATTCGCAGGAGACTGATAATGTGCTTTTAGCAAAAGAACTTCCAGGTTATTACACAGAAAAAAATAAACAAATTATATTATGCTGTATTAAAACTATTTGAAACAGTCTTTGTTACAAATATCAGAAATAAAAATTCAACCCTCAACAACAATCAAACAGATTTGGGAACCTCAGTGAAGGGTCACCACATTTCCACTTTAAAGTTTCTTCTTCAGTGATCACGGCCGCACTTAGTGTCTTTCCAGCAAATCTCTATATTCAGTCAATACTACCTTGTTTCGTTAATATCTCTTAATGGGATCCTTAAACAAATTGCTAACAAAGGTCTCTTATTTCTTAACATGAATTCATAGAATAGAATCCCTACAGTGCAGAAGCAGGCCATTCAGCCCATCAAGTCCACATTGATCCTCCAAGAGCATCCCACCCCATTCCCATCACTCTGCATTCCCCATTGCAAACCCACCTCATCTACAAGTCCCTGAACACTATGGGCAATTTGGCATGGCCAATCCACTTAACTTTTACATCTTTGGACTGTGGGAGGAAACCAGAACAAATCCACACAGACACAGGGAGAACGTCCACATTCCACACAAACAAGCATCCGAGTCTGGAATCAAACATGGATCCCTAACGCTGTGAGGCAGCAGTGCTAAATACTGAGCCACCATGCCATCCTTGAGCTCTGCTTCCACGGTCTTTTATTATTGGAATTTTTCTGTTAATGTCTGTTAAGCCATTCTCTTTAGCCCTAAGTCCTTTGGACACTGCTAAGCTAACAGTATCTTTGTTGCCATTGACTTGTTCTCTCTGCCAGAAATCTGCACTTTCACTAACCTTCTAGATAGTTTTTTTTTCAAAAGGAAACCTTTCTCCAAATTCCTGTGACATTGGACACCTTGTTAATGTGAGTTTTGTTAAGAAAAATGAGACATGCTGGTGAAGATTTTCACCTCATACCCATCAGGACTGATGTAAAAATGCCAAATTACAAGAGGAGTATAAATGTTGGTCCCTTGGAAATTTGGTATTCTTGCATCTGTCCTGATACTTGCAAGATGAAAAGTTTTGTTGGCGTGTCTTTTCTTTTTACAGCAGTGTGTTTTCTTTTTGTGAAAGAGTTTTACAGACCTTCAATGCTTTATGCACATGAGCTCTCGGATCCTCTTCGTTCCGAGGAGAAATCGTAGAAGATTCCTTCTGTTTCTGTCATGTTCCCGTTCCCATTTTTCCTAAGATGCTAACTCCCCTGCTTTTATTTCTTCCCAATGCAGAATCTTAGAGAAGCGGCAGAATGTGGGAGAAACGATCGAGTTGACTGAAGATGGTCGAGCGATCGGAGTGGCAGAGAAAAGGCAGCCCATTGTGGACTGCACATGTTTTGGGCTGCCAAAGCGTTATGTAATTGCTATGATGAGTGGCCTGGGCTTCTGCATCTCTTTTGGGATCCGCTGTAATCTCGGGGTAGCCATCGTAAGCATGGTGAACAACAACACGGTCTATAGCAAAGGGAAACTCATCATGGAGGTAGGAGGAAGAAGTCTGAAGAAGACTTGAAACTCTAACTCTGTTTCTCTCTCTGCAGATGCTGCCAGACCCGCTGAGTTTCTCCAGCATTCTCTGCATTTGTTCCAGATTTCCAGCATCTGCAGGATTGTGCCTTTACTGGAGCTAGAAAGAAGCTGGCAACAGTAACAATAACATTTGCCTCTATAAAGTGCCTCGACCATAGCTATAAACACTCCACAGAATATCACTGTCACACTCAGAGTCATAGAGTCATTGAGATGTACAACACTGAAACAGACCCTTCGGCCCAACTTGTCCATGCCAACCAGATATCCTTATTTAATCTCGATCCATTTGCCAGTATTTGGCCCATATCCCTCTAAACCCTTCCAATTCATATGCCCATCCAGATGCTTTTTAAATGTTGTAAATGTTCCAGCCTCCACCATATCCTCTAGTAGCTCATTCCAGACACACACCACCCTCTGTGTGAAAAAGTTGCCCCTTAGGTCCCTTTTAAATCTTTCCCCTCTCACCTTAAACCTATGCCTTCTAGTTTTGGAATATCCCACACTGGGGAAAAGACCTTGACTACTAACCTTATCCATGCCACTCATGATTTTATAAACACCTATAAGGTTACCCCTCACCCTCCGACACTCTGGGGAAAATAGCTCCAGCCTATCCAGCCTCTCCCTGTTGCTCACTCAAAGTTGGTTAAAGTGAAAAAACTCTATTATGAAGCAAAAGATTCTAACGCCTAACTCTCTAAATATCTTTCAAAGTCCCTTGATTTCTACCTCTAAAGCCATAGCTATCTCTGAAAGCTATAATTCTGAATTCTCCCTCACTCTGAAAGTTCTGTGTCAACTCTGAGATCAAGCACAGCAGGAAAAGTTTATTTATATAAAATCCTGAATGAGCAAACATAACTGGTTTCAAACCATTCCCAGTCTTGGCCTACATCATTCACAGCCTTGCATCTCTGGGAAGCATATTCTATAGAGAAGCAGACTGGTAGAAGATGCAGATTTGAATAAACAGAGAGGAAAAAAAGCTTGAGCTGATCAACTACAGTGACTTCATTTTTTAAAAAAACTGAAAGAACTGCAGATGTTGTAAATTGAAACAAGAACACAAATTGCTGGAAAATCTCAGCAGGTCTGCTAGCATCTGTACAGGGAAATCAGAGTTCTGAAGAAGGATCACCAGATCCAAAATGTTGTCTCTGTTTTCTCTGTACAGCTGCTGCCAACTAGTCCTGCTGAGTTTCTCCAGCAATTTTTGTTTTTGTTACTGAAACTTCATCTCCAAGAACTCCATTAACCTCTTACCTCTCCACATCAATTACCAAACAGGTTTCACACTGAACCACATACTTGTGCCCGTGAACCAAATTATATTTTTGGAACGGACAGGTGAGGGGTGGAATGGTGTGCAGGTGGTCCCTGCAAATGTTCCAGTAATTTTTACTGAAATTTATTTTATGAAAGCGATCACAGAATAGTGAAAATAATGTGCAGTGTTACAGGGAAAAGGTGGGAGCATGGCTTAAATTCATAGTGCTCATCCGGAGGGTCAGTGCTGATACCATGGGCTGAATATCCTCCTTCTTCACCGGAACAATGCTGTAATGGACACAGAAGGACTCACTGTACCTGTGCTAATTCTTTGAAAGAGCAGTTGTTCTTCGACACACAGCCCCTATTGATGGTTCTCCAACAGGAACAACTCTTAATTGTTCCTGGGAAAGATTATTTTTTGTTAATGATGGAATTTGAAGGGGCATGTGTCTGTGGATTGAAGAAAACATTTCTGATGGTCATATTCATAGATTCGTAGCATTGGTTACTGTGCTGAAGGAGGCCATTCAGCCCTATGTGTTTGTGCTGACTCTCTTCTTTAGTCACGTACTGCACTTTGTGAGTCCAAGTGACAATCTGCAATTTCATTCAGCCTTCACAGAAACAGCAGAGTGAGTGACCATTGATGATGAGAAGGGGGCAGCTCTTATGTGCAATCTGTACATTGAGAAGAGACAGCTCTCAAGGCCTTACAGAGCGAATTAGTTCAATATCAGTCAGAATTCTACAACCCTCACACTTGCAGCCTTCCCTCACCCCCCAGGAACATAGAAAATAGAACATTACAGCGCAGTACAGGCCCTTCGGCCCTCGATGTTGCGCCAACCTGTGAAACCAATCTGAAGCCCGTCTAACCTAAACTATTCCATTATCATCCATATGTTTATCCAATGACCATTTAAATGCCCTTAAAGTGGGCGAGTCTACTACATTTGCAGACAGGGCATTCCACACCCTTACTACTCTCTGAGTAAAGAACCCACCTCTGAAATCTGTCCTATATCTATCACCCCTCAATTTAAAGCTATGTCCCCTCGTGCTAGCCATCACCATCCGAGGAAAAAGGCTCCCACTGTCCACCCTATCTAATCCTCTGATCATCTTGTATGTCTTTATTAAGTCACCTCTTAACCTTCTTCTCTCTAACGAAAACAGCCTCAAGTCCCTCAGCCTTTCCTCATAAGACCTTCCCTCCATACCAGGCAACATCCTGGTAAATCTCCTCTGCACCCTTTCCGATGCTTCCACATCCTTCCTACAATGCGGTGACCAGAACTGTAGGCAATACTCCAAGTGCGGCCGCACCAGAGTTTTGTACAGCTGCAACATGACCTCATGGCTCCGAAACTCAATCCCTCTACCAATAAAACCTAACACACCGTACGCCTTCTTAACAACACTATCAACCTGGGTGGCAACTTTCAGTGATCTATGCACATGGACGCCGAGATCTCTCTGCTCATCAATGCACATGGACACCGAGATCTCTCTGCTCATCAGGCTGGCATGTGGGTACGTTGGTAGCAAGTAAAATCAGGAGCAATGGGAGGGAAAAGCCGTACCCATAGTCTACCCACCTTAGCTGGAATTTTACCATTGGTGTGGCAGCTGTGGGTCAGCCAAGCTACCCTTACTGCAATTATTGCCCACTCAGTGGGGAGGTGATGGCCTAGTGGTGTGGTATTATCACTACACACTTAATCCAGAGACCTAGGTAATGGACTAGGGACTTGGGTTCAAATCCAACCATGGGCGAGTTTGAATTCAACTTTTTTAAAAAAGTCTAGAATTAAGAGTTTAATGATGACCATGAAACCACTGTCAATTGTTGGGGAAAATCCATCTGGATCACTAATGCCCTTTGGGGAGGGAAATTGCTGTCCTCACCTGTAGATGCCTACATGTGACTCCAGATCCACAGCAATGTGGTTGACTCTCAGACTGCCCTCTGAGCAATTAGGGTTGAGCAAAAATCACGAGCCTAGCCAGTGATGCCCACATCCCATTAAGTGGATTGTTTTTAAAAATCATATCGTACCTGACTTTATCCATTATTCAATTATATCATGGACCCCTGAAGTCCATAGAGCTCAATTCAAGGTTCACTGCCATACAACAGAGGCGTTTGTGGAACAATTATCCTTTACCCTCTGGTTTGGTGCCATTCTATAAGATGGTGTCAAGACAGAATGGTCAAGGAGAAAGCAAAGCCAAAAACTGTTTTCAGGCTTAGACTTCAAAGTTACATTATCTATTATATAATGACATTAATTTTGCCGTGCAAGGTAATCATAGATATATCAGACTCTGACTGATAATTGCATTAGGTAAGTTATAGAGTCGTACAGCATGGAAACAGACCCTTCCATCCAACTCATCCATGCCGAATAGGCATCCCAATCTGACCTCGTCCCATTTGCCAGCATTTGGTCCATATCTCTCTAAACCCTTCCTATTCATGTACCCATCCAGATGCCTCTTAAATGTTGTAATTGTACCAGCTACCACTACTTCTTCTGTCAGCTCATTCCATACACGCATCACCCTCTGCGTGAAAAAGTTGCCCCTTAGGTCCTTTTTAAATCTTTCCCCTCTCACCTTAAGCCTATGCCCTCTAGTTTTAGACTCCCCCATACTAGGAAAAAGACCTTGGCCCTATTCATGCCCCTCAACTATTCTTTCTTCTTTGTATGTTTGTGTCCGTGTGCTTTCAAGACAAAAATTTCTAATCCTGTCTGGTGTAGTGTGTTCTAACTCAGCCCACACTGTAGTATTTATACCCAGTGATGTGCAATTCCGCGACATCTCCGCAAGGTTGCTCCAGGGTCCAGAAAACCTTACATAACAGATTAAGTAGAAGTTGTAATGGGTTTTGCCTAAATAAACAGTCTGTCAATAAAGGTAACTGATAAAGGAATCAGAGGAATAGATGAGGAAAATTTTTATTTTATGCCATGCATTGATTCAAAAAAAAGGATGTTAGTAAAGATCTAATCCATTTCCTTTTTTTTCTAGAAAGCTAAATTTAACTGGGATCCAGAGACGGTGGGAATGATTCATGGATCCTTCTTCTGGGGGTATATTGTTACGCAAATTCCAGGAGGCTACATTTCCCAGAAATTTGCTGCCAACAGGTAGGGAACTTTTCCAACCATTGGTTAGATAAAATGAGTGAAGTGGTGAAAACTTGCAAAATGAAAATTAACATGCAAAATATGTAAGTTATGAAGTTTGAAAAAAATGTTTTATTCATTCTGTCAAGGGATATGGACATCTTTAGCAAGACTGGCATTGGTTACCCATCTCTAATTGCCCTTAAACTGAGTGACTTTCTACACCATTTCAGAGGGTAGCACATTGGCACCCCTTTACTCTGAGACTGTGCCCTCTGGTTGTAGACTCTCCTGTGAAGGGGAGCATCCTCTCAGTTTTTGCCCCTTAAGAATCCTGTATGTTTCAATGAGATCACCTTTCATTCTTCTAAACTCTAATGAGTAGATTTGGGAGTCAGTCTGGAGTCCTATGTGGATCAGATCAGGTAAGGGTGGAAGATTTCTTTCCCCAAAGGAGATTAGTGAATCAGACGGGGTTTGACAATTGACAACGGTTGACATGATCACTCTTCAATTCCAAATCCTATTAATTGAGTTTAAGCATTTTAACACATGATCCCAGAGCACTAACCTGGGTCTCTGGATTGCTAACCCAGAGATATAACTGCTACACAACCAACCCATGACTTATTGAAGAAAAGGAGAGCGATGAAAAACCTTCTGATTTAAAGAGGTTAAGAGGAAAGAGCAAACATCTTTGCAGAAGCTAATTATTGTCATAAAGAACACAGAGCTGGTGTAGCAATGGCAAAGATTGCATTATTTGGAAAAATATTATTCTACTGGAATCAATTCAGAGAAGGTTCACTCGTATGATCCCCAATATCAAGGGATCATCTTATGAGCAAAGCTTAAACAGGTTGGGACTCTACTCATTGGAGTTTAGAAGAATGATAGGTGATCTCATTGAAACATATAGGCTTCTTAAAGGGCTTGATAAGGTAAATGCTGAGAGGATGTTTCTTCTCAAGGGAGAGTCTAGAACCAGAGGGCACAGTCTCTGAATAAAGGAGCTCCAATTTAAGACTGAGATTAGAAGGAATTTCTTCTGTCAGAGGGTTATGAATCCTTGGAATTCTTTGCCACAGAGATCTGTCAGGACATAGGTCTTCTGTGTATTTAAGGCTAATGTAGATAGATTCTTGATCAATCGCAGAATCAAGGGTTATGGGAAGAGGACAGGAAAATGGACATGAGGGATGTTGGATCAGCCATGATCCTTTTGAATGACAGGCAGGCTCAAAGGGCTAAATGGTCTACTCTCGTTCCTATTTCTTATGATCTTAATCTGTAAATAGAATAAGAACCTCTTATTGAAATGAGAAGAGATTGCAAGAAAAGTATTATCAAGAACTGTAATTTGAAGTGTCTTGTTGTTTGGGTCTGAAAAGTCGACAAAGCAAGCATCCAAAGACTGGTGAAGTGTGGCTCTGGTGTAGGATGTAATGGATCAACGGGAGAGAGCACTAGAGGTATTGAGAAGTTCTCAGAATGGTAGAGAAGGAAAGATCCTTGGTGAATACCATTAAGAAGTGGCAGCAAGTTAGTATTGACCATAGTCTGAGGTATGAGAGCTTGCTGAAGGAGGTGCTTGAAGAAAGAATGAAAGGAGAAGGGACTTCAAGACTAAGGGGCATATTTTTAAGGTGAGAGGAGAGAGGTTTTCAAAGACATGAGGGTCAAATTTATTACATGGAGGATGGTTCATGAGTGGAATTAACTTACTGAGGAAGTGGTGGATGCAGGCTGAGATACAATGTTTACAAGACACTTAATTAGGTACATGAATGGGAAAGGTTTGGAAGGATTTGGGCCAGGAGCAGGCAGCTGGGACTAGTTTAGTTTGGGATTATGTTCGGCATGGACTGGTTGGATGGAAGGGTCTGTTTCTGTGCTGTATGACTGTATGAGAATGAGACTAGACTGGGCTTGTATCCACTGAAGTTTAGAAGAGTAAGAAGCAACTGGATCGAAACATGTAAGATCCATCTGCTTGAACATAGTGTCTCTTCCAGACCTTCTGGAACCAATTCCCACATACTGACTTTGTTAATCGACAACTTGAGAGGGTGGATGTTGAAAAGCTGTTTCCCCTTGTGGGAGAATCTAGAGCTAAGGATCACCTTTTAAAAATAAGGGGTCGCCCATTTAAGACAGGTAGGAGAATATTTTTCTCAGATTGTTAGGAGTCTTTGGAACTCTCTTCCTCAAAGGATAATGGAAACAGAGTCTTTGAATATGTTTAAGTCAGAGCTAGATAGATAGTTGAGAAGCAAGCAGAGAGCTAAAAGGTTTTGGAGGGTCGGTGGGAAGCTGGAATAATCAGATCAGCTATGATCTTGTGGGATAGATGATTAGACTCGGAGGGCTGGATTGTCTACTCCTATTCCTTGTTCATATGTTTGTATGTAAAATGATATTAAACAGACTGAAATTGAAAATAGGAGGTTCCTAAAAGCAATTGGAAAGGAAAGTTCAAGACTGTGAGGTATGGAGAAATAAGTAGAGGACCAGCCCTTGTGAAGATCACTAATACTAGTTGTCAGGCATCTCTGAAATGGGTAATGGGTCCTTCAAGAATGACACTAAAACTGTTAATGTAAAGTAAATTGAACATAGACTTTCTTCTTTCTCAACTCCACTTTCCACAGAACTTTAATCCTATTTGTATTCAACCATTATGAACAATCCCAGTGGCTTAGTGAGGAAACAAAATTGACATGGCATCTGAGGAGTTCTGGGGAACGGTCACCGGACTAGAAACGTTAAATCTGATTTCTCTCTACAGATGTTACCAGACCTGCTGAGCTTTTCCAGCAATTTCTGCTTTTGTTTCTGATTTACATCATCTGTAGTTATTTCAGTTTTTGTTTGAAGCAGAGACAAACAAACAGTCAAATTAACACTGTCTTTCTACCTCTGTGTTTGCAACACAGTAACATTAAACCATCGAAGGCCCCTGATAATTTTCCAGTGATTCCTAACCAGACTTTTGAATAACCAGTTCCAGGCTTTGTGAATAATTAATTCCCAACACTAGTTTTGTATCTCAACCAAAATTCTTAACTATTTATTAAATACACAATAACTTTAGCAGAGGCAAAAATAAACAAGGTAAACTGATTAATGTCTATGCTTTAAATCCAAAACATTTGTTTTCAGCACCTTTGCACCAAAGACAGATAGCCAAACAAGCACAGTTAAGGAATAAATAAAAGGAAGTAACAAAACTGGCCAGATAACTTAAATGGCTAGCTTTCATGATGTGTTGTTTCACAAGCATCCCATCATTTATGAGATGTAGGTACCACTGGCCAGAGCAACATTTATTGCTCATTTCTAATTATCCAGAGGGCAGTTAAGTGTACAACCACATTGCTGTGAGTCTGGAGTCACATGTAGGTCAGTCCAGGTAGGGTTGGCAGATTTCCTTCCCTGAAGGACATTAGTGAAGCAGATGGATTTTTCCGATTCTTCGCTTACTTTTTCCGAAATGTTGATCAGGGTTACCTTCTCAGCTCACTCAAGCGTAGGCAGTAATACTTCTTAATCAGCTTTCTACTGTTTGGACTTCCAGAAGCTATTGTGGAAAATAAGGCAGAGAGTTATCAAATCTCATAATGTGTTATCAGCAGCCAAGCTCATCTCCCCAGAAAACACAGATCAAAAACAACTCCAACTTTGATTCCATCCTCATAGACTGATCATCTCCTTCCAAGGCCTCAATTATCATTCAACTTCCATCTGCTTGAACATAGAGTCTCTTCCACACTTGCTGGAACCCATTCCCACATGCCGACCTTGTTAATAGCCAACGTCAGCTTACCGTTTAAACACAATGCTTTTTTTTGGGGTCACTGTATCTATAAGCACCCTTTTGATCAAGATTCAGTCTGCAAGTAGCCTCCAGGCCTGGCCTCACAAACAAAGAAAAGCTTATTCAGTCTGTTCTTGTCCTTTGACCCCAAGCTGTTTCACAAGGTCCACAAGCTCCCAACCAAAAAAAAAAATCAGTAATGGCTCTAGCAGGCCAAAAGAGGAGATAACAAGTCAGATGATCAAAAGATTGATCACAGAGTCATACAGTCATAGAGTCATACAGCACGGAAACAGTCTTTCGGTCCTAACAGTCCATGCTGAACATAACCCCAAACTAAACTAGTCAGCATATTTAAAGCAAGGAAGAGAGAAATAAAATGTTTAGGAGGGAATTCCAGAGTTAAGGGCCTTGACAGCTAGGATGAAGGCAGGCACGCAAGGCCAAAATTAGAAAAGGGCAGAAATCCTAGTGGTTTGGAGGAGGTCACTGAGATAGAGAAGGGTGAGACCATGGAGGTATTTGAAGATGAGGATGCAAATGATAAATCTGAGGCTGTGCTGGAACGTGAGCCAATGTGGGTCAGAGTGCATGGGACCGATGTGAAGGTGGGTTGGCAGAGCCTGGAGGAAGCTTTATTAAAAAGGGCCTTTGCCCCAGTGTCAATAGAGGGTGAAAAATGAGACTGGCCAAGAGGACATGGGAATTGTCCATAACAAGGGATTGGATGAGGGCTTCAGCATCTGAGGTAGGGCGATTAAAGGAGAGAAAAATTGCATTTATACAGTGCCTTTAATCACCTTGGGATATCTTGAAGCAGTTTACAGACAGTGAATACAATCGCTGTTGCAAAGTAAGAAACACATCATTCAAGTTGTGCACAGCAAGATTCCTCAAACAGCATACGGTCACAGAGTCATACAGCAAGGAAACAGACCACTCAGCCTAGCTCACCCATGCCGATCAAGTTTCCCAAACTAAACTAATCCAATTTGCCTGCGTTTGGCCCATATCCCTCCAAACCATTCCTACTCATATACCTGTCAAAATGCCTTTAACTGTACTACCATTTCCACTGGCAGTTCATTCCATGTATGAACTACCCTCGGTGTGAAAAAGTTGCCCCTCACGTCCCTTTTTAAACCTTAAAACTATGCCCTGTAGTTCTGAGCTCCCCCACCCTAGGGAAAAGGCCTTTGCTATT